TTTTTCTCCTGCCCTTCTCCCAAAGAGATCAGGGTGGCGCAAATGGTCCTGCCTTCACCTTCTTATTATCACAGTGCCACACTGGCTTTTGTACTCTCTTGCATGACATCCAGGCCTTCCTGCGGCAACTGTGTCTTGACTGTTGTCTTGGCAACCCTATTTAGCCATTGTTCCTCCCTGGCTGATATTGGCAGCTCAGCTTCAAGGGGGAGGAGAAATGCCCCGAGGTTTCTTCCAACAGGGGCAGGACCAAAGAGTTCACCCAGAGCTCCCCTGACCTCCTTCCCATGTCACACTTGGGGGCTAGACATTGCGAGTTTAGGATCACAAGCCAAATATGGATTTCACCAGATAATTATAATCTGTCATTTTTAGTCCTTAAGGGGCAGAAAATAGAGTTTACTTATATGGTGGTCCAATTCTACACCTAAGCACTATAACAACTGCTACTTTCTTTATCAAGAGAAAATGTTTCTTTATCAAAGGAGAACACGTTCTGGAGGCACACCCAAAAGAGTTACTAGAAAAGCCCTTTAAAGTCCCAGAATGAACCCTAATCTGCTGAAACAGAAGTGGAAGTTTATTTCTATGCACACATCAGCACTGAAGTTTATTTCTAAGCAAGCACCTGCACTAGAGCCATTTTAGCATAAGAGTAATGGCATTGTTTTATTATACTGCCTGGATTTTTTTTTAAAAAGCACATTTGGAATTTGCCTTTGGAAAGCTGGATTGCACTGAACAAAGTTGAAGTCCAGTGGCACCTTTAAGACCAACAAAGTTTTATTTTGGGTATAATCTTTCAGATACATTGAGACAGAAGTCACCAACCATTACAGATAGGCAGAGGGTGAGGAGGGTGTTGCCAGGAAGGGCTAACTAGAGTGAAGATGCAGAAGTAACTGAGCAGTAAATACAGCTAAGACTAGAGGAAGGCAATTGGTAAGAACTGTGAATAGCAGCAAATTAGCATACGGCATAAAAAAAAGAATTTACAAACAGATGTGAGAAGTGTGCGTGCCAGTCTTCCCTGTAAACTGTGCGCATGAGCGGCCACTCGTTAACACAGGAAGCCTTGCTTAGCAGCAATCTGGAGCCATGCAGGGTCTTGCACTGCCCAGTGCCCATTTTAAGATTACAGCAGTGATATTCTGCTCAGGATGTGAACTGTTCCGCTCAGTAAGGGAAAAAAATAGAGGGAACATTGGCATGTACATGAAAGCTTATACCCAGAACAAAACTTTGTTGGTCTTAAGGATGCCCCTGGACTCAAACTTTGTTCAGATGTGAGAAGTGAATGATGTTAGCATGCATAGTGAGATAGGACACCAATATCTCTGTTAAACCCTAGGGATTCCATTGTCCTGAGCATTGTAATAACTTGTAAATCAGCAATTTCTCATTCTAGTTTGTCTCTGAAATTCCTTTGCAATAAAACAGCTACTCTGAGGTACTCCATTAAGTGTTCTGGAAAGCTGAAGTGTTCTCCTACAGGCTTCTCAGTTTTGTGATTCTTGATGTCAGACTTGTATCCATTTATCCTTTGGCGTAGGGTTTGACCTGTTTGCCTACGTAGAGAACTGAAAGGCATTGTTGGCATTTAATGGCATATATAGTGTTAGAAGATGAGCAAGTGAATGAGCCTGAGATGGTGTAATTGATATTGTTAGGTCCAGTGATTATGTTATCTGAGTATATGCAGCAGAGTTCAGTTCCCCTGGAGAAAATGGTCTTTGAAGGAAGGCCTCTGTGGCATTATTCCCCATTGAGGTCCCTCCCTTCCCCAAACCCTGTCCTCCCCAGGCTCTGCCTTCAAATCTCCAGGAGTTTCTTAGCCCAGACCTGGCGACCCTATAGCATGTCCCTGCCCCCAAAAAACTCCTGCCAGGTACCAGTGCTGAGCTAACAACCCTACACATTGCATCCTTTCCATCCTACAAGAATATCAATATGTAGTATACACAAAAAAGCCACCAGACAGTGCAAAAGAGCCCGCCACATAAATCCATCCTTAGATTTATTCCGTTAACAGTAATGCTCACATATCGAGCTCTATGGATCATTCTGCAAAATGTGCAAAACAGGAATGTTCAGGAGGCATTCTCGTAATGGAATTAGAACCGCAGTAGGACAGAGCAGCCAAGAAGGGCACCTTCATATGGGAGTGGATCCTGCATCGCTTTGTACCTTTGTAATCCCACATTCTGTACTGTTCACGCTATATGTGGCCTCGGAAGTTTGCTATTCACATTGTCATTTAATTAAGTATTCCTAGTCTAATAATATTGTCCACTGGATGTCCTACACTGTATGGAAAGATGTTTTTTTTCTCTTTGTGTATTCTGTAATATGCCATGACTCTTAGTGAGAAAGGCAGGCTAAAAATAAGCTAAATAAGTAAATAAAGTTGCCACTGTGTTTGGAAAACTGAAACAGCTGAACACCACTGAAGTACAATATTAATTACTAACAACAGAGTTACTTTACAAAGGTCCTGCTCCAGCTAAGCATGCATCTTCCTTTTATTATTCTGTGTCCTAGAATAATGCAACAACCTCTCTTAATTTCTAGAGAACAAAATAGATTAGTCACATTAACAATGTTCATAGCAGGGGTCTTTTCCTAGAAAAAGAGCTGCAGGAACTCATTAGCATATGGTATGCTAATGAGATACTATGCTATTAGCATAATAGCTCATTAGCATATGCAACGCCCCCTGACATCGCCGGAAGTGATGTCAGAAGGGGAAGCAAAAGGGGGGGCGGCATCTTCAAAAGCTTCCCCTTCCCCAGCCAGCGGGGGTGGGAGCAAAAAGAGAAGGGGGTTGGGCTGCAGAAGGAGGAAAGAGGGAAGGAGAGATAGAGAGAGAGAGTAGAGAGAAGGAACAAATAAATGAAAGAGTGAAAGAAAGAGAAGGAAAGAAAGAAAGAGCAAGAAGGAGGGAAAGAAAAGGAAAGGGGAAGGAAAGGAAGGAAAGGAAGAGGGCAAAGAGATGGGGGAGGGGGAGGCTCTCCCACCCCCCCACTCCCCCAATCAAGCCTCTGCCACCCCCCACGGATCCCTCACTTACCCTGGGGAGGTGGCGGGGGGCCTCTTCTGCCCTCCCACGGGCTGCAGCGCTCCGGCGCTGGCCCTGGGAGGTGGCGGGGGGGCTCTTCTGCCCTCCCACAGGCTGCAGCTCTCGGGTGCTGGCCCAGGGAGGTGGTGGGGGGGCACAGCATGGGGAGCTGGGGGCGGGGCTTGCTGCCACCGCCATTTGTTCCAGCGCCTGGGCTCCCGGAGCAGCACTCCGGCACGCTCTGGCCCCAAAAGACCCCTGGCTCAGAGTATATTTTGAAAAGAAGACAGACAGACAGATAATATATGGGGGGGAAACGATCACTGCAGATAGTTTTTGAGTCTAGAAATATCAAATGCTATTGTTTTACAGAAATGAACCATCTGTTTGATAAGTGTCACAAATTTTCAGAACCAGAGACCCTCCATTAGGTTAGCAGTTAATATTAAAATTGAAATAAGATTTAGTTGTACATCTTGATCACTGGCTATCATCCTGACTAAGTGTGAGGTGAGATCAAAATGTGAGCATCATTCAGAACTCTTAAGGGTCACTAATTTCTGCAAGAGAGAAAATGAAAACACATGTTTCATTTTCCCATGGAAATTGATGAGAACATTGCTTCCTTTGGATGGATACTGCCATTGTTGATCAATTTCAAGTCAGGCCTTGTCTAGAGGAGTGGCTCAATGAAGCATGATAATTTCTGATTCAGGCATTTATTGATCTGCAGAATTTGTATCCTGCCTTTATGCCCTTACAAGGGCTACCAAGATAACTAACGGTTTAAAAAGTACATGACAAAATGACATTTTACATTACATATTAAATTACATTAAAAATTCAAATTAAATTTTACAATAATTAGAATCAACCTTCCTCTCAAACACAGATCATTAAAATACATTTAAAAGATTAAAAAATGGTTAAGAAGGAAGAAACATTGAGGGAATGCCAAATGAAACAAAAAAGTCTCCTTGTCATTATTACATTTCAAAGGATGCTATTAGACTATCCACTTCTGGAGCACAGCAATGCCACTCCTTTCTGATATTGCTAATAACACCACAACTGTTTCAAAGGACAATTGTCATTACCATCCCCCTTCTAGTAATTCTGGCAGTGGAAGGAAAGTAGGACAGCAATGGCACAGAGGAAAGCTATTCAAACAAACATTAAGGTATATCCTGTGAAAGTGAGTGTCACACGAGTTGGACGACCCCTTGTCGCTCTCGCTCGATCCTGATTGCTGCAAAGTGTCAGCCACTGTGCCCCACCTCCCCGAGGAACCACAGAGGCCTCAGACTATCGGGAGAGTAGGAGATTACCTCCCCACCCTCTGCTCTCCCTTGACTGGTCAGACAATACACTCTCTCTCTCAGCTTGTCCTCTCTCAAGTCGCCAGTGCTCCACCCTCCATCCTTCCCACCACTCCCGCCCCCTTCTCTTATGCCAGGACACTGAGCTGTGGGTGTGGCATCTTCCCAGCTCTCTCTCTCTCGATCCAATGGCCATGCCGGGCCCATGTTTCCCCCTCCCCAAGCTGCTCTGGGCCATGCATTGCAGTTCCCTCTTTTCCTCTGGAGGCTTCCTTCCACGGGCCCTGTCGCTCATCTGGGGCAGCAGCACCCAGATGGCCCATGGTCATTCCTTGCTGTTCTCTGGAAATCTGCATTCAGTTGGGTAAATCTTTCCTTTTCGCCATTGCCTTTCGCTTTCCTTCTTTCCTCTGCTATTTGTAAAGCCTCATCAGAAAGCCACTTTGCTTTGCTTTCTTGCATTTCTTTTTCTTTGGGATGGTGGTGATTGCTGCCTCCTGTACAATGTCACGAACCTCCGTCCATAGTTCTTCAGGCACTCTATCTATCAAATCCAGACCCTTGAATCTATTCTTCACCTCTACTGTATATTCATCAGGGATGCGATCTAGGTCAAACCTGAATGGCCTCGTGGTTTTCCCAATTTTCTTCAGTTTAAGTCTGAATTTTGCTATGAGTAGCTCATGATCTGAACCACAGTCAGCTCCAGGTCTTGTTTTTACTGACTGGATAGAGCTTCTCCATCTTTGACTGCAAATTATATAGTCAATCTGATTTCGGTGTTGCCCATCTGGTGATGTCCATGTGTAGAGTCGCCTCTTAGGTTGTTGGAAAAGGGTGTTCGCTATGACCAGTGTGTTCTCTTGACAAAACTCTGTTAACCTTTGCCCTGCTTCATTTTGCTTTCCAAGGCCAAACTTGTCTGTTATTCCAGTTACCTTTTCACTTCCTACTTTAGCATTCCAGTCCCCTATGATGATGAGGACATCATTTTTTGGTGTTAGTTCTAGGAGGTGTTGTAGGTCTTCATAGAACCGGTCCACTTCAGCCTCTTCTGCATCAGTGGTTGGGGCATACACTTGAATTACTGTGATGTTGAATGGTTTGCCTTGGAATCGGACAGAAATCATTCTGTCATTTTTGAGATTGTATCCCAGTACTGCCTTTTGCACTCTCTTGTTGACTATAAAGGCCACACCATTTTTTCTACGAGATTCCTGGCCACAGTAGTAGATATAATGGTCTTCTGAGTTAAATTCGCCCATTCCTGTCCACTTTAGTTCACTGATTCCTAGGATATCGATGTTCAGTCTTGCCATCTCATTTTTGACCACGTCAAGCTTACCTTGATTCATAGATCTTAAATTTCAGGTTCCTATGCAATATTGTTCTTTGCAGCATCGGACTTTCCTTTCACCATCAGACACATCCACAACTGAGCATCCTTTCGGCTTTGGCCCAGCCGCTTCACTCTTTCTGGGGTTACTTGTACTTGCCCTCTGCTCTTCTCCAGTAGCATATTGGACACCTTCCGACCTGAGGGGCTCATCTTCCGGAGTCATATCTTTTAGCCTTTTGTTATTGTCCATGGGGTTTTCTTGGCAAAGATACTGGACTGGGTTGCCATTTCCTTCTTCAGTGGATCACACTTGGTCTGAGTTCTCTGCTGGGGCCTGTCTGTCCTGGGTGGCCCTTCACGGCATAGCCCACAGCTTCATCGAACCGCGCAAGCCCCCTCGCCACGACAAGGCAGTGATCCATGAGGGGGGAAGCTGAATATTAATATGCTAAGCTGGAAAACACAGGGATAATTGTGAGCTATGTAAGCTACTTGTGGTGTATTTTATTTACATAAGATATTTCTATCCCACTTTTTACAAAGCAGAAGCCGATGTGGTTTACAACCACTAAAAAAACCCCACATTACTTCAGAAAGAAAAGAAGAAAACATTAATTGATCAGACATGCCCTAAAGAGATTAGTGGCTGTACAATTGATAGTAACTGATATATATCATATTGGGGACTTTTTTGTACTTGGGTTAAACTGGCCTGGTTGTCAAAGGGGTTTTAAATCAACCAGATGCAGATTAGGACTGCCTGGCAAATCCTCCAGCCTCCAGGGCATCAGAGCCCTCCCACTGAGCCCCTTCAAATGGGCCACATCCCAATCTGTTCCTTTAGACAATAGGCTCCTGTTGGCCTTTGCATGCTCTTTACCCACCCCATTGTCTTGGAATAATATAATGCTGAAAGGAAGCCAGGGCCAAACACTTCAGTGTTTTTGCTGTCAACACTCACAAGCTTCTCTTGTGAAACAATTAAAATCATCACATAAGATCAAAGAATTACGGACCACCTCAAGATCAGATTATAAACATACAAACTGAGGATCTATAAGAAATCATGGGGGAGGGGGAAACAACTTGGAATTTCTTCATCTTCCCCACAACAGGGTGAGACTGCTGGGCTCCAGGGCTCGATTCATAGCTCCCTAGCCCTCATCCTCAGGAGTTGGGGGCTACAGCTGTTCTATATCAATGCGGTTCATTGCTAGGAGAGCAGGAAATGGTCTGTCTAGCTCCAGATGTGAGCAATACAGTGTAGCAAACTGACTAGTCTATCTGCTTTTTAGGGATGGACATGAACTGGGAAAATGTGGTTTGGTTCAGTTCGTGGTATGAACCATCACGAAATTTTAGCAGCCAAACAAACCAGTTTGGTTCTTGATGCAGCAGAATGTATCCCCGGTGGGCTAGAGATAGCCAAGCTCACAGAGGATCTCTGGCTGACTCTCCTCTACCTGCCCTCCAAGTTTGGTAATGATTACACTTACGAGCTCCGAGTTATGCCCCCCCCCAAAAAAAAATAAGGTGCCCCTATCCTCCATTCTTTCCAAAGAAGCAAAAAAAGCAAGGGCCCTGCAGAAAAGAATCAAAGTCCCAGAGAATCTTTCAGGAGAAGCTGAAGGTAGGGGGCATTTTGCAAGCCCAGCACAACCAGTGCCACTGTGGCACCGCAAACCCAACAGGACTAAGGTCAAGCCAGAGAATCGTTGCAGCAGAAACTGAAGGAGGGGCATTTCTGCAAACCCAGTCGAACCAGTGTCATGTGGTAGTGCAAACCTAACAGGACTAAGGTCAAACCAGGAAAGTGCTTTTGGGGGTTATGTCAGGTGCAGGTTCAAAAGTGTACAGAATGGACCCCATGCACATGTTCAAAAGTGTACAGAATGGACACCAAAGGCACAGGGAGTCTCACCCTGCCACCTGCTCCTCTATAATCTCTCAGAGTTGGGGGTGGGTTACATTTCTGGAGTCCCAGTTACAGATCCACCAAAAAAGGTCTCCCATTTTTTTTATACTCTCCCACCCCTCCTGAGTATGAACACCTCTGTGTGCAATGAGGGTGAAAGTGGGTGCAAAGGTGCTCATCGTGGGGGGAAGAAGTCCTCCACCCCCTGCTATCCCCGGGCACCAAACCCATTCTGCCAGCCTACTGGAGCCCAGCCCTAGCAGGGCATCTCATAGCATCCTTCCCCTGATCTGTTCCTGGGGTTCTCCACAGAGGCAGAAGAGTTGTTAGTACTGCCCAGAGACACCAGGAAGACTCTGACAGCAGTGATTCAGAGGGTGGAGGGGAGCCCACAGTTTGGCAACATTTTTGCACCCTCCCCAATGGCCCCTGTGTGGCGGAGTACTAGGTGTGCCACATGTCCAGAGGGGTTCAAACCCCCAGCACTTGTCCTCATCCATCCTCCATCCTCCACAGACACCTGCAAAGGGTGCACTGTGATCCAACTATGTTGCCACCAGAGAAAAGAGTAGCAGCCTGCGGGAGGAAGAAGAGGCCCACTCCCACTCAGCAGGGAGAAGTGAAGGTGGAGCAGGAGGCCTTTCCAAGAAATGTTTCCCGTACTCAGGCAGCCTTTGGTGGGACATCAAGGTGGGCCACCCTTCAAGAGATCAAAACAGCTATGTGGAGGGCCCAGAAGGCAGTCAGACACCTCATCATCAGTGAGATGATTGCTGTGGATGGCCAACCCTTCTCCCTCATCGAGGACATAGCCTTTCACCGGCTGCAGTGGTGATTGTCAAGGCTCAGCTCTCCAGAGCACAAGGCAGAACTGTGCACTACATGGCAGACCTCTGGAGCAGCCAGCAGGACTGTCAGGGAACGGCTCAGACCCTGCCACCAGGCTACTAATTGGTTCTGCTTGATTTGCAGGGCATAAATGCAGATCACACAGCACAAAACATTGCTACAGGGTGATACAGAGTATCCTGAGGGGGTGGGTAGGCAGTGGCAACATCATCCATGGCTACATGGTCATGGACGCCAGCACCATCATGCTGGCGGAGATGACACATGTGGACCTCAAGGGCATCATCTAGCTGGTGCATATGCTTCAGCTGTTAGTGAAGGTTGCTCTGGGGCTGGAGAGCAATGTCAAGGCCATTTGGGATGCTGTCCCCCTTGAGATGTGGTTCTTGCTTGAGATCCACCAGCATTTGGCTGCCCTCTTCTCAAGCAGCATGAAATCTGCCCATCTGCTGCGCGAGAGGCAGGGGAAGGGGGCTGAGGAACTCCACTTATGCCATTATTGTGCATTCGGTGGAGCAGAAGAGCACATTGCAGGATGTCATCTCATCCATGACCATCCTGCACAGGAAAGAGGAGCTTAGCATCAGCGCCAACAACTGGCCAATCCTCTACCAAATGATGCATGTCCTCAAAACATTCCAGGACACCACCAATGTGATCTGCACCTATAAGGCCAACCTGGGGCAAGTACATAAGAACATAAGAGATGCCAATGTTGGATCAGGCCAAAGGCCCATCCAGCCCAACACTCTGTATCATACAGTGGTCAGAAAAACCAGTGCCATCAGGAGGTCCACCAGTGGGGCCAGGACACTAGAAACCCTCCCACTGTTGACCCCCCCCCCAAGCACCAAGAAGACAGAGCATCACTTGCCCCAGAGCCCCTATCTATACCTTGTGGCTAATAGCCACTGATGGACCTCTGCTCCATATGCTTATCTAATTCCCTTTTGAAGCCGTCCATGCTTGTAGCCACCACCACTTCCTGTGGCAGTGAATTCCAAGTGTTAATCACTCTTTGGGTGAAGAAGTACTTCCTTTTATCCGTTCTAACCCGACCGTTCAGCAATTTCATGGAGTGCCCACGAGTTCTTGTATTGTGAGAAAGGGAGAAAAGTACCTCTTTATCTACCTGCTCTTTCCCATGCATAATCTTATAAACCTCGATCATGTCACCCCTCAGTCGTCGTTGCTCCAAGCTAAAGAGCCCTAAGCGCTTTAACCTTTCCTCATACGGAAAGTGTTCCAACCCTTTTATCATTCGAGTTGCCCTTTTCTGCACTTTTTCCAAAGCTATAATATCCTTTTAAGGTGTGGTGACCAGAACTGCCACACAGTATTCCAAATGAGATCGCACCATTGATTTATATAGGGGCATTATGATATTGGCTGATCTGTTTTCAATACCCTTCCTAATAATCCCCAGCATAGCATTGGCCTTCTTTATTGCAGTCACACACTGTCTCAACATTTTCAGTGAGTTATCCACTACAACTCCAAGATCTCTCTCTTGCTCAGTCTCTGCCAGTTCAGACCCCATCAATGTGTATTTATATTTAGGATTTTTGGCTCCAATGTGCATCACCTTGCACTTGGCCACATTGAACCCCATTTGCCATGTTGACGCCCACTCGCCCATCCTTGACAGATCCCCTTGGAGTGCCTCACAATCCTCACTGGTTTTCACCACCCTGAACAACTTCGTATCATCCGCAAATTTAGCCACTTCACTGCTTACTCCCATCTCCAAATCATTAATGAACAAGTTAAAAAGCAGTGGACCAAGTACTGATCCCTGCGGTACCCCACTGCTTACCACCCTCCACTGAGAAAATTGCCCACCTACACTCACTCTCTGTTTTCTATGAACTAGCCAGTTTTTGATCCATAAAAGAACTTGTCCTTCTATCCCATGATTTTTGAGCTTACTTAGGAGCCTTTGATGAGGAACTTTATCAAAAGCTTTCTGGAAGTCAAGGTAAACAATATCTATTGGATCCCCCTTGTCCACATGTTTGTTCACCCCCTCAAAGAACACTAACAGGTTAGTGAGACAAGATCTTCCCTTACAGAAACCGTGCTGAGTCTGCCTCAATAGGTTTTGTTCATCTATGTGCCTACTAATTCTTTTCTTAATAATGGTTTCCACCAGTTTACCCGGTATCAACGTCAGACTGACTGGCCTGTAATTTCCCGGATCTCCTCTGGAACCCTTTTTAAAGATGGGAATGACATTAGCTACCTTCCAGTCCTCAGGAATGGAGGCAGATTTTAAGGAAAGATTACATATTTTTGTCAGGAGATCCACAAGTTCACATTTGAGTTCTTTCAGAACTCTCGGATGTATGCCATCTGGGCCTGGTGATTTATCAGTTTTTAAGTTGTCTATCAGTTTTAGGACCTCCTGTTTCGTCACCTCAATCTGACTCAGGTCTTTCAACACCCCTCCCGAAATCAGC